GGATTTGCGAGATGGAAAGCTGGAAAGCTGCAAAGCTTGCAAAACATCTAACTGCAACCAATGTATTAACTGCTACCAGATATACCAGCCAAAAGATCACGTCCTAGAGACCTCTGACTGAACAGCTGTAATAACCGGCAAAAAAAGTTTAGAATGTTCAGAAGAGGTGCAAGAGAAAGAAAAAAGAAAGACAAAACAAAGAAAATTGTAAAAAAAGAAGTAGTAGAGAGGAAAGTTAAGGAGAGATGAAATGCTGATAGTGAGCGATAAAAAGTGATAAGAAAAATTCTAATCAGGTATCGGAGCCGAAGCGAAATGCTGAATATTAACCGAGCCTAGGCAACATCAAATCCCAACTATGGAGGCCTGACGCCAATTCAAGCTGCCTTTTGATGATTTCGGCATGTTAAAATGTTTTCGCAATGGCTCTATGGCTCCCAAAGTTTTTTAAGACAGACTTTGATCAGCGAGCTATTTTTTGTTGTGATTGTCCCTTCCAAGAGGCAGGGTTTCACTACAATTGCAAAAAAAATCTGTACAGGGACGTGAATCAGGAGAGTGTCACTGCTCAGTCGATTTGTAAACCGCTCAGAAATATCAAAAAGCTGAACAACCCCAACGAAAAAAAGTCAATCATAACTATCAAGTAAGAAAGTCGATGAACGACAAGTCTAGGCTCGACGTTGTGCGGAATTGCCTTCGAGAAAAAAATTCCAAAAATTCCCCGAAAAATAGGTTCCCGAGGCCAAGTACGATGTAAGTAGTCCCGCTATGCTCTGTCACCCCATGCATCTGTCCGTTATCATCACGTCATGCGATTGTTATTGTTACAACGACCGGCGACAGCCGTTAACACTTCTCTCGGCGAACAGATGATGACCGTAATGAAGGCGATACCGTAGTTAATTGCGCCGCCGCAACCAACACCACTCGCTATCGATTTCTTATCGATCAATTAATTTGCCATCGATACTTACCTGACTGCTTAAATCAACGGATCCCTGGGCTTCCAGTTGCTTCTTAGCCCTATGCAGATGTCGTACCGAATTGATATGAGCGATTAAAGCTGTTCGGGATGAAAACGTCTCCGCACACAAATCACACCGGGCTGTTTCGTCGTCTTGCGGATGATCACTTTCCATATGGGTCTGAAAAAGTCTCTGAATTGTTCCCAAAGATGATTAATAGGTAATTAGGTTATTGGTGTCAGTTTTCACAACAGAAATTGTTGCTCAACATCACTTCAATAACAATACTGAATCCGAGATTGCAAAAAAAGCCAAGTATTAATTACAGTTGCGTAATACAACCCGAACTTCTGTGGAACCTATCGATCAATATCAATCGATCCCAGTGGGTAAAATTACGGTTGTGGTGTGATCTGGAGCAGAATAATGGTGACGCGACCGAAGATTTTGAAATCTTTGCCCAAAGCAGACCAGACTGTTCGGATATCTGGACTGGATACTGTGGAATCTTCAGAAGGCATGCTACTTCACAACACTACAGGCCGAAAGCTACTGTAATCGTAAGACGGATGGGAAAATGGAAGAAGAAAACACTATTAGGAGCTCTTTATAAGGGCAACCCCAAAGAGTTTACCGACTCGGAAAAACCGTGCACCTTCCCAAAGTGGGCGGCCCAATTTCAAACACTTCCACATACCCAAAACGGCTTTCAAATTCGAGGATTACAGAAGAGTTTCTACTAAGTAACTGGCCGTGATAAAAATTCAACAGTAACATCATAGATGCGATGTTGCGATGCCCACTAGCCCAGTGGAACCCACTAGCCCCTCCTTCCCAGTGGTCGTAGCAGAGTACATTTACGGTTATCCAAATTTGGCCAAATTTCGCCATGGCAGACTACTAGGGCTGGGATGGAGGACGGTTGTTCGTAGCTCCATTGCTTTTCATTCGGGCACCAACAGGCCCCCAATATCTTCAAAACAACAAGTTTGTGCAGTGACCTCGCCAATGGAGGCTAGGAGCTTTCCAGGGAGACTGGAGGATGAAAGTCGGAAATCGGAAATCGGCATAATGGGAGGACAAATCAAAGAGGTTTTTGAGTCTAGCTTTTTTATTGTTATCTTACTCTTTGGAAACTAACATAGTTTCCTGGAAAGGATCCAGATTAGCGGAATGCGCCGTGCTCACCTTTAGCTCATCATCATTGGAACACATTTTCTGACATAGTGAGCAACGTTGTGTTGGTGCAAATAAATGTAAAATCGAGTGTGATCGGAGCGCATTTTCTGATCGAAACGCCATTGTACATTGAGCACAACGATAGGTGAAGTTGCCCGAGCTGAAATCAATCATACCTACAGACAGTACGTGAGAAGTAGGAAAAAACATTGAACGCAAATATTTAAGCAGTCCTGTGTTCTGATGATGTAAAGCAGTGTGTTACTAAGAAATTGGATCCGCCGACGAAACGACGACGATTTCTGAGAGGACATAACAGACGGAACGGGAAACGATTTCCTCACTATACACGATTAAGAAAGACTCCCCTGATGGTTCCTTAAGTGCTTCGAAGGTGAGGTTTCGGTTTTTAAAGCCCTGAACGTGACCCCTAAAGTAGTCCCTTTTTTGGTCCAGAGGGTTTAAGTGTGAATGAACCTAAAAAGGTGGGCTGAACAGCCATTTTGGAAGCATTAAAGCAGTGTGCTTGTCTTCAAATCACAGGATGGAATTATGGTAAACGAGAAGGATGCTGATGAGCAAACTGAATCCTATTTTTCTGCCTCTACTGTAATTCTTAGAAGTAGTAAGAGCGGACCTACACAGAAAAATGGTTTTAGCTCTGAGCCTGAGCGAATCTTCATCGTGCTTCTCTTGAAAACAAATGTTCAAATAACCTGACCATCCTAAATCGAAGGCTGATGGATGTGCCGAATCCATCCCACGGGGGTGATAAAAAGGGTCAGGAGATTCTTCAGGATCGTACTACCGCGTGTACTGACACATAGTGACAGAATTCCTTCGAACGATTGAGAGTACGCACCCCCTACAGTCCTGAGGAAGCGAAACCCACACTGGTCAAATTGTTTTGTCATCGTGATCCCTTGCGAACCCGCGCCACCCCCGCCCCCTTCCACACTTTAACCCTGCGATACCAACGACCTAAGCGCTTTAAACCATCACTTCCATCCATTGAAATCGCTCAACCTCCATTCGGTCGACCAGCCTTTGGTCATTTAGGATCCCACAGCCCTTTGGAGCCTGTCCATTATTATCGTTGCCTGTTTCTGACTATTCCATGTCCATGATGGCGATGTCCACGATGAGATAGATTCAGAATTAATCTTGGCACTCGAAGCGGCTGACGACGACGACAACAACGACGATAGGAGCATTGCTGTGAGGGAGGCGCAATACAGCAGCGCCCTTCCATTGTCAATCATTACAATAATGGGAAAATGAGCGTCGAACACAGAGCGACGGAATAGAAATGTAAATAGACGGACGTGAGCCGAGACCCGTGAGGAGAAGAGACACAGCAACCCCCCTGTCGATACCCCTGTAGTGAAGCGATTACGGTAGACGATCACCACCTTGACGACGACGACGACCACGACGACGTTATCATCAATGAAGATGTGGGAGGAGAGGGTGGTAAGGAGATGATGATGTGACGTCATCCAATGAGCCTAACCATCAGCAATGAGCCGTGGAAAAAGTCAATAGAGATTGATGATTCTATAGATTGGGAAGAACACGATTGGTATGCTCAAAAACCATAGTATACAGTACCATTTTATGAGGGAAAATCCCTGAGGAATGCCAGTCATCTCACAAAAAATACATATTGATCGATACATATAAACGTTCCTTGGAAGTCACAGAAAAAGAAAATCTCCGGAATCCTAACTTACAGCCAGGAAGATCTAAGCCTGTCCCTAAGTTCATGGCTTACTAATCCTGCTTACATTGTCCAACAGTGGGTAAAGGAGGCCCAAGTGAAGAGAGGTTCCACAAGCTTCAGATCACAACGGAGAAAGGAGGCCAGCAATGGAGCATCTAACCCGATGAATCGATCGATAACCTTCGAAATTGGTGGAAATCATCACTTCAGAGCGATCAGATCCCAAATGCCTGATTGAAGTTCAAAAAGGCCATAATAAGAGAGCCGGCGGACCAAAGTACCACATAAAAGGATATGAGTGGCTCATCAGCAATCGATTTTCTAAACTGACCAATCCGATCGGTCGATAAAAAGCAATACATAGAGAAGATATTTGAAAATCAGATTAAAAATTGATAAAAACACAGGGTGATCAGACTGACTTTGATGGTTCGGGTCGATGTACGGCCAGTAGTCGTTCGACGGCCGATTCGGCGATTTTGTGCTCCTACAAGAGGTGCAAATGTACGATTGGTGTGGGTGTATACTCATATAGTTTAAACATCTCCCAGAAACTTGACAAGAAGCATGAAAAAACTACCGTATAACATGAAACCAACCTGAATCAGGTGTTCAGTAAGTTTTAGCGTTCGATCCGAGCACAATGGACACTGCTCACCTTCTTCGTGCGAACGCGCATGCTCTTCCAACATCGACGCGTCTTCTAAAAGATAATCCACTTGGTCTAGTGATTTCATTTTTCCAAAAGGATTTCAATAAATCAGTAAATTCAGTATATCGATTGATCGTGGAAATGGGAAAAAAGTTCAAAAAGGACAGTAGTGTCAATACAAAGTTATTCATTTTGCGTGGACCTACCCCTCTTTTATTGGAATATTTCAATTTTAATTTCATGAAACCTATTATAGCTTTATTATTTTGGTATTTCCAGTTGACGGAATTTAAAAAATCGAATACAACAGTGAAAATATGGAAAAATCCCAAAAATCAGAAAAAAAGTTGTCAGACAAAACTAGCTTTCAATGTATATAGTGGTCAACAATGTATTGAATCGTCCGGACGTGTATCGCTTATTCATATGGCCTTTCATAACTGCAAATCAATCGATATTTTACTGAGCGATCAATAAAACACCATGAAAACATAGGCTGTGCGAATAAAAGAAATTACATTGCCCTTTCGTAGGTTAGGACTCAAAAATAGCCACGATCACCATGAACAGGCCTAATTTCCTGCTAATGATCAATCAATACTTAATCAATCTCATTTCTGAGCAAAAAGAGTTCTGAATTCGTCTTCTTCTAGGTATTTTCCATTATAAAAGCGAGTTAAGAACACCTTTCATCGCAGCTGGTAAACCTACACTACTTGTTTACTTCTAAAAAGTGCTACTATACTTTGGTACTACAAAGTAAGAAACAAGCAATCGGATGGCTCTAATTAGGACCTGGTTTGTATGACTAAAGTGATAAATTGATAAGGCTTTAATCACGCCGCGCCAATAATGTTTAAGGTGTCAATTTATCAAAGATGCGACAACAAGATCAAACGAGTCCCGCCGCCAGCTGGGTGGCTGGCACTTCTGGGGGGCGTGTCCGGGAGGTAAGCGGGTCCAATGCAGGCAATGTTCAGCTCTCCTTTTATCAAATATGACATATGAGAACAGGATCAAAGGCTTCTAACGCCAAAATCGGACAATTTAGGTCTACTCGATAGCCGCTACGGTAATCAGACCTATCTGCTGGGAACAGATTCTGAAGAGGTTGAAAGAATACCACAGTGGCAGGGATAATCATTAACCCATTGGCGACCGCGCCTTTTATACTGACCTTACATTAACTTTTAGTTTCTCTTATAACTGTAGTTGGAAAGGAACGATTCATGGACGACGATGCTTCAAGCTTCTCTAAAAGGCTGTGATCTCAGTGATACTTGAAAACATGAAAAAGTTATAAGAACACTTGATAAATAATATAAATACTACAGGAGCACGTTATGGTGTGGCCCGCCGGCAGGCCACGCGGTCGTCAATGGGTTAAAAAAATTGGATTGTACTGTAGCTGAGAACTCAATCCCTTAGCGGTAAAAGCAAGAAAAATCCGTATGGGTGGAGCGTGGAGTTCTGCATGGAAGCTCTTTCCAGTGCTAAGCGGAACATTGAAACGGAAGAATTTTCTGAGATTGGAGACAATAGTTAACATTGTCAGCTCCATCATAAAAATATCTTTTCAGAACGAAAAAAATATATTTAAAAAAGAAAACTTTGAGCTAATTAATTTTGCTGTGAAATTATGATTAACGGCGAATTTCTCTGAAAGTCTCCAATACTCCAGTAACAATTGGCTATCTGAGTAAGGCTTTTTTAACAGATTATAGATCAACGATACCTTCCGCTATCAATTTATCAATTAAATCGCCAACAGTTTTAATAATACAGAAAAATATTCGAATTATTGTCAGCTTAACCGACTATCCTAACTTACAACGAAGCCTCGAATAGTCGAGGGCGGATCAGCTCCTCCACACAGCCCTACAGCGACAACGAATACATGGCTTAATCTAAGGGGGTCAACCGGTACCTGTGACTTAGGTAAGGATCCACCCAGCCATTTAAGCTGTAGCATATTCTGTTGTCAGCCGAAACCAACACCCATGAGCTGTTCACCACAGCGTTTCGACATTTTTTTTGCTGAGCAGAAAGCCTCCCATTCTCTCCCTCATCCTACAGTACCGTAATTATCCATGACTGACCGAAGCTGAAAAGATCTACTGAGGTCGGTTTAATGAACGTGTGAGTATGTGTGTGTGGGAACTCTCGCATCAGCCAGCTAGGTATGAGTGTGCAGGTAGTTAACGGAGGGTGTCGGCCATATCAAAGGCGGCCGCGGACCGCATCGCCGCTTTGCGACCGTCTCAACTGCGCCACCATAACGCACAATATGCTAATTATAATAGTAAAAACTCGCACTAAACTGCGTCAATAACTGAGATAATGAAATGTGAATGGTGAAACGACGAGGCGCCGACGATACACTCCACCATCACCACCATCGCCCGCTCCATACCACACCACATACTAGCCATAGCATCGACGACGCCAACGCCACCACCATCACGAGCCATCCCAACGACACCGCCAACGATGAACAACGGCATCGATTGATTAGTCGAGGTTAGGCAGAAGACAGAAGAAGTGCACCTTTACGAAGGGGTGTGATCATCGAAAAATGGCGAGAAAATCAAAAATGATCGATCAAGGGATCATCGGCCAGGTGGAGGCGGGATAGCATCAAAGGATAAGGGGAGAGTCTGGCAGAATAATGCAGGGACCTTTATCTGGGCGAAGCTATGACTAAACGTAGAGGATCCCATAAAATTTGAACGAAAGACAAAGTCCGGGCGTCTTCACCCTGGGCTAAATAGGAACAATAAAAAATAGGGAAACACCTCCCTAATAATACTGCCCAGGTGGGAGTAAAGGTAAGGATCAGTCGCTGAGGGATCACACAGGAGGGTTCGGGAAAATCTCATTTTCCACTTGATGAACAGCAGTACAGATTCCACTGATGTCCGTGTTTACCTATTAATCCACTGTAACTTGAGCTCTGCGAAAACGCATCAACAAATGTCACCAATAAATGAATGAGTAAACAAACAAATAGTCGGTTGACAGGAATTAGACTTGGTCTGAGCAGTCATTGAAGAATGACTGAAGGATATAGAAAGAATAGAAATTGGTTCAGAGATCTTCGGAAGTAAAGAAGTCCATTTTTTTTTAATGAACGAGCCAATTTTTGAAAAAGAGGTCGATCAAAAACAAAGACCGACCATAGTAGTGTTGACATTACAGCACAGATGTACTCACCACACACCTAATAAGGGGCTCTTCCAGAAGACACTACGACAGAAGGACCGCGAAACCCCCTTTGGAAACTTCATCTCCCAGACTTTCTTGTAATGGGTTTCAGCCTCACCACGGTTAGACTTGCAGAAGCTTCCCAGTTCTCCCCTTGAATCTCAACCGAGTCTGAAAGTTTGAGCGTCCAGATCTACACCCTTAATACAGAACCACTTCAGAAGACTAATCAAAGCCCTGAAGTCCTCAAGCCTAGCTTACTTTCCTTGAGCCTGGGAAGTTCTTAGAGAACTCAATGACCCAGTAAACTGTCGATCTCAACACGCTAACGTTTGCAATGATCATAGTTCGATGAGGTAATCAGCCATCCTGTTTCCAGTTCATTTCCAATGAAACCAATAAAATCGAATGAGAAAATGCCGTTCGGGTTCAGCGCGGTCGGCCAGCCGTTAAATGGACTGTACGTGGCTTTTTCCGTGCCGTAAATCACCTAATTAAAAGCGGGCGGTACGAATCATCACGACGACCGATGAATAGTGCGTCGATCTCGTCCCTCCAAGGGGAAATAGTCTACAATTACACATGAAACCTTAATTTTACCATTATTTACGGGTTCTAAGTGAGTATTCGAACACCTACCTAAGTTCCTGTCTGAAAGTACCCCTTAGAAACTTGCTCCAGCACCTTCATGAATAATTTTTCAAACCCCTTGGGTAAAATCCTTTGGTTCTCCTTGAGGTCCTCACTCAGATTGGAGTAACGATGGCATACCCATGGCTATCTGTTCTGAGGGAAGGGTAAACTGGAAGCTGCCAACACTGCTAAAAATGGAAAGTAGGGGTTCAGGAATTTCCTTGAATTAGGGTAATGGAAAGTCACCAGGAGCAAAGCAAACCTTAGGTATGTTCGAAGGATCTCAACCCAAGACATCCGTACCAAGGTGACGGACGGGAGAATGGGTGAAGTTCTATACGATGCTACAGCCATACCTATAATTGTCCCTGTGATTACCTCTGAGTTAACCTCTAGGTTAACAACGATGGGTAACTTGGAAAGGCTCGAATTTGATTGACTTCTCATTTGTCCCATTCAAGAGCCTTTCTCAGAACGTCTGGTTTTCTTTCCTTGCCCTGTATGGGTGCACCCATCTGTGTGCTCTTCGCCTTTACTCGCCCCTTTCAATCCATCCGCCCCTCTGGTTTATTGCAGAGTCCATATGAACCTGGGCGTGAGTTACCTGCCTAACATAACACACATTACCCAAAGTGGAGGTAGATTGCACCGTAGCGCTGGCGTAAATCAACGCGCTCGCACACGAGCGCAATTAGGCAACGGTGGTGTTGAGTAGCGAGACAGCCCCAGCAGAGGCAGCTAGCTACCCCAGTGTCACTGGCACACAGGGCAAATTACAGCCGGGTTGCTGGCTGGGTAGCTGAAAGCGGCTACCACCACAGACAGTGACACGATGAGGCAGTTGACTGTGTGTGTGTGTATGTGTGAGGTCAAAACCGGAATTTACCTCGCCCTATCGCTAGCACAACATCGACGATGACGATGGACGCAATTTTGCACAAATTCTGTAGCAGGCATGGAAGAATGTGATGCGAACACCTGAGAATCTAGTCAAATCTGGGCAAGTCCTACCCACTTAGCCTGGAAAGGACAGATTTCTCTGGCAGTCTCACTTCCGAGGTGCACTTTCACGATCGGCCCATACAATACGGGAAATGCGCAGGGATTCCGGTCCCGGGTGGAAATCGATCCTATGGCTAAAATAAGTCCAAACAAGCAGTGCTTGGCAATCGTACAAGAACCGAAGCTCTCATAGTACTACCGCCCATCATACCTATCGATCACTGACGATATTTAGGAGGGTAAGAGGACAAATGGTCAGGATCATTGCATATCCCAATGCCTTTTATGGTCCTCCTGGCTGACCATCTGGGGTAGCTCCTGCCGAAATTCATCAAAGACTAATTTACAGAATAGAAAAATTCAAGGAAGCTCCCAGACTCAGAGGCTCCCTGTAATTTTTTATGAACAACGTCCCCGAAGCTGCCAGCAAACGACGAATTACAACGAAGTAAGATGTTAACACAACAATGAATTATTACAGTAACATCGGAACATACTGTATAAATATACATAAAAGACCGTAAAAAAAGGAAAAATAATTGGTTCAAAGGGAGCACTTACTCGTAGTAAAACCACAACTGGCACAGGCGTATGCAGCATCGTCGCTCATCGTCGTCGCATTGAAATCTAGAAGATCAGCTGATCTGGTTGGTTACGAAATTGAAAAACCCGTGTTGTTTTCATGGGTAAATACCACAAAACAAATGGCATATGAATTAGATGGGTATTGATCGATAGAGGCAGGATTTCTATAAGACGATTGAACAATGAAACCTCTCAAAAGGAAAGCCCCTCACACGGAACCGCAATTACCCACGGAAAAACTCAGATACTTCTAAAAATCAATAAAATCAATGAGCGTAAAGAAGATCGTTATGGCCCAGAGGGAGGGAGGAGTCAGGACAAGGTAAGAGGAACTGTAAATAAAAGGAAT